TTACACAGCACAGTATAATAGAGCAGTATCACACAGCACAGTGTAACAGAGCAGTGTTACACAGCACAGTGTAACAGAGCAGTGTTACACAGCACAGCGTTACAAAGCAGTGTTACACAGCAGTGTTACACAGCAGTGTTACACAGCACAGCGTTACAAAGCAGTGTTACACAGCACAGCGTTACAAAGCAGTGTTACACAGCACAGTGTAACAGAGCAGTGTTACACAGCACAGTGTTACACAGCACAGCGTTACAAAGCAGTGTTACACAGCACAGTGTTACACAGCACAGTGTAACAGAGCAGTGTTACACAGCACAGCGTTACAAAACAGTGTTACACAGCACAGCGTTACAAAGCAGTGTTACACAGCACAGTGTAACAGAGCAGTGTTACACAGCACAGTGTTACACAGCACAGCGTTACACAGCAGTGTTACACAGCACAGTGTTACACAGCACAGTGTAACAGAGCAGTGTTACACAGCACAGCGTTACACAGCACAGCGTTACAAAGCAGTGTTACACAGCACAGTGTAACAGAGCAGTGTTACACAGCACAGCGTTACACAGCAGTGTTACACAGCACAGTATAACAGAGCAGTGTTACACAGCACAGTGTAACAGAGCAGTGTTACACAGCACAGTGTAACAGAGCAGTGTTACACAGCACAGTGTAACAGAGCAGTGTTACACAGCACAGCGTTACAAAGCAGTGTTACACAGCACAATGTAACAGAGCAGTGTTACACAGCACAGTGTAACAGAGCAGTGTTACACAGCACAGTGTAACAGAGCAGTGTTACACAGCAGTGTTACACAGCACAGTGTTACAAAGCAGTGTTACACAGCACAGTTACACAGCACAGCGTTACAAAGCAGTGTTACACAGCACAGTGTTACAAAGCAGTGTTACACAGCACAGTTACACAGCACAGCGTTACAAAGCAGTGTTACACAGCACAGTGTACACAGCAGTGTACACAGCACAGTGTTACACAGCAGTGTTACACAGCACAGTGTAACAGAGCAGTGTACACAGCACAGCACAGCTGTTACACAGCACAGCGTTACAAAGCAGTGTTACACAGCACAGTGTTACACAGCAGTGTTACACAGCACAGTGTTACAAAGCAGTGTTACACAGCACAGCGTTACACAGCACAGCATTACACAGCACAGCGTTACACAGCACAGCATTACACAGCACAGCGTTACACAGCACATTGTAACAGCAGTGTAACAGAGCAGTGTTACACAGCACAGCGTTACACAGCACATTGTAACAGCAGTGTAACAGAGCAGTGTTACACAGCACAGCGTTACACAGCACATTGTAACAGCAGTGTAACAGCACAGCTTTACCCAGCACAGCAGTGTTAGGTCAGTTTTCTGTTCTTTGGTATCTTTGACGATGGTGTACCTGGTAGTCAGGCTTGGTGTAGTAGTCCAGTGCCAGTACATGGTCCAGGAAGATGTGGAATTCTGAGGGCATGTGCTTCAGCAGCATCCTGTGGTCATAACGCTCTTTAACCTGACCGACCTGCTCCTGCACACACGACACAGAGCAGTTGTTTGTCATATACATTAACGTGTGTTTATTCTCATTAAACATGGGTTTCTCACGGCAACTCTACGGTTAGCTGCTCTGAACCGTTTCTCATCCTCAGCCAGATGGAAAATTACTGGAGACGACACACTGCACTGTTTTACTCCCAATACCAGTTAGTATCCAGAAATCCATTTAGGACAAAGTTTTAACATGAAATGTAAATCCTCCAGGTGAGCAAGCCAGGAAAAACTCCCTCAGAGCTGGGGAAGAAACCTTGGGAGGAACCAAGGCTCACATGGGGGGACCCATCCTCCTCTGGTCAAACTACCTACAGAATTATTATACTACTAATATTAATAGTAGTAGTAGTAGTAGTTAGGAGACTTCAGTGTAGGGTGGGCAGCTAGTCCAAGGCAAGTGGCGGCGACTGGGGCGTGGGCAACTGGTCTGAAGCGGGTAGCAGGAGAGCTTGACAGACAATCATCCATCAGTGTCCGGCCGGACAGGTGGGCAGTCGTTTACTCGGAAAAAAGGTAGGGAAATGGAGTTAGTTTAGTTCTGTATGGGTGTATGTATAGTAGTATGTAAAACATTTCCAGAGTGTGGCTAACGACTCCGGCAGATCTGACTATAACAGCTTAACTAAAAGGAGCGAACCAAAAGGGCACACAGACACGGGAGCACCCTGAAACAATCTGGCATCCCTCCGCTCCACCGTCCACAAACCTGAGTGTTCGCGTGTGAGCGGCGGGACGACAGCACCAGTCTCAGTTTACTATAATTCCCTGTGTCCATGGACCCCTGGATCTGCTGCCTTTATCTAAGGGGAAACATTAACTACCAAAAGCTAAACTAAACAAGTGAGTTTTCAGCCTAGATTTGAAGATTGCGACTGAGTCTGAGTCCCGAACATTTTCTGGAAGATCATTCCAGAGTTTGGGGGCTTTATAAGAAAAGGCTCTTCCCCCAGATGAAACCTTCTGAATTCTGGGAACTATTAAAAAGCCAGCACTCTGTGATCTGAGTAATCGTGGTGGCTCGTAATGGGAAATAAGGTCTTGCAGGTACTCAGGAGCCCATGTAGGGCTTTATACGTCAATAAAAGAATTTTGTAATCAATACGGAATTTAACAGGCAGCCAATGGAGTGATGATAGAACTGGACTGATATGATCAGATGTTCTAGTTTTAGTGAGAACCCTGGCTGCAGCATTTTGAACTAGTTGAAGTTTACTTTAATTCCTGCTGGTGCATCCTGATAGTAGTGCGTTACAATAGTCTAGCCTTGAAGTAATAAAGGCCTGTACTAATGTTTCTGCATCGTGCAGCGATAAGGCATTTCTTATTCTGGCGATGTTGAGAAGATGTAAAAAGCTGTCCTAGTGATGCTGCCTATGTGGTGATCGAATGATAAATCTGGATCAATTATGACATGATAAGGTTTTTTGCTGCTGAACCAGGTATAACTGGAAAGTCAGCGAGATTTAAAATTAAATCTGATAATTTATTTCTTGCCACTTTTGGACCCAGAAGGAGAACCTCTGTTTTGTTACTGTTTAGAAGGAGGAAGTTACGCAACATCCAGCCTTTCACATCTTTACACAGTCCTCTATTTTCTTTAACCTGTATTTGTCATCAGGCTTGGCTGATATGTACAGTTGCGTATCGTCTGCGTTACAGTGAAAGTTAATGCCATGGTTACTTATAACTGTGCCTAACGGTAACATGCATAATGTAAATAATAATGGTCCTAAAATAGAGCCTTGCGGAATTCCAAATATCATCATATTGTCCAGCCCTACTACCAATTCTGATACTCAAACCTCCAACATCATCTGATACCGATATTGATTAGATATTTCAGTAACACTTTCTATGAATGTTGCATTTGTAAGCATCTATAAAAACATTTATAACATGTTATAATGTATTGATAAGGAATTTTAAACATGGTTATAAATATTTATAAAAAAGAATGCGTGTAATGCATTTTTATAAAAATTTATAGCTATGTTTATAATGTCTTACGAATGCATTATAACATGTTATGAATGTGTTTATAGATGCTTACAAAGGTGACATTCATAGAAAGTGTTACCGATATTTCTTCTTTTAGAGACTTCTTAGCTGTAAAATGATCTGTTTAGTTGAAGCACTTCACTCAAGGTTGTGCTCTAAAATGACGTTCCACCTCATTCAGATCTTGTTCTAACGGCTTCTCTCTTTGTGTGACATGCCAAAGTACGAAAACTGCCATCTAAGCAGGACGGCGTTCTTATGAGAAGCCAAACCTTCTGAGCTTGACTCAGAGAAGCTTGGTGAGGTTCTCCTGGGTGGCCAAACTCCTCACTCTATGATGGAGACCCTGCAGAAGAACCTCAATTCTGTCACTTGAACCCATGAACTTATACCTGAGGTCACCACCTATAGCTCATGACCACAGGTGAGGGTTTGGACCTAGACTGGCCGGCACACAGAGATCTTTGTCCAGTGAAGCTCCTGATTTACCACCACAGCACAGCACAGTGACCACAATGTTGACCAGATCTGACCAGCCGCACCAATTTTCCATCAATCATGAACTTGAGGTTCTCCACTACAGGCACCAGACTCTCATCCAAGTTGGGAAATGTTCTAGATCACAGTCTCCTTCAGACTGTTCCACAAGGACAACATCATCTACAAATAACAGAGATGCTACCTCTGGACCTCCGTACTGGACACCCTCCCAGCCTCAGCTACACTCTTATAAAAGATGGTTCCTCACAGGTTCAGAACCCTGAGTTCTATACAGAACCAAGTCATTCTTAAATGGTTCTTTGCATGGTGAAAATGTTTTTCAAACTGATGGAGAATGCGTTGTGTATTGTTCTATGTGGAGCTTTTTGGAAATGGTTCTATATAGCACCAAAAACAGCCCTTCTACTGTTACCCTGTCAAGGTTGTATATATTGTATATAGAACCATTGAGCCTCATTCACCAACGTTCTCTTATGTAGGGTTTGTTCTTAGGTAAGAACAGAATCTACACACACTCAAGAGCACCAAGGTGAGAACAGTTCTGCGCTTTAAGAACACGTCATGAATCTGACGGAGACTTTTTCTTAGAACCTTTATCAAGAACACATTTAAGAACACGTTTAGGAGGATGTCGCAGGAGGCCCAACGTTTCTATTAAAGAACTCTTGAGGAACCAACTGCTGCTCTTGCTAGATCTTGTTCCAGCTTGTATTGCTTACACAGCGGGAGCTACAAGGAGACACCAGTGTGTTTGTCGCAGAGGAAGCGTTTACTGTAAATGTTTATACTGTCACTGTTGGAGGAAAACGTCGTATCTTTACCACAAAAATAAGAAACATTCTTAACACGTAATGGACGTTAATGTAACAAGATTTTTTCAAAGTAATTTTGAAAGGACCTTTTGATGTAAAGGGAGTTTTCAAATTACACACAATAGTAAAAAAAAAAAAGGCAAAAAAAGGAGAGCAGAGCAGCCACAGAGTGGGAGAGAGTTTAGTCTCACTATGCTTAAATACAGATAACAGTTAAAACAGTATTTGTTTACATACAGAAAAAGTGAAAGAACCAGAAGGGGGCGATGTTGGTGACAGCACTGCGATCATCAGTGCAGAGTCAGAACATCACACACAGAACATACACACAGCTCATCGGCTGTTCGGCTCACTGACGCCATGAACGTACATGAGGCGCCGTACTAAACTCCATAACTCGAGTTTAAAAGCTCTTAAAAATATAACAGCAGTGTTAAAATGTTTTATGCTGCTCTGTGTTCAGAAAGTGACTGTGTTCTTATACATATGTTACAAATGTCTGAGCATTTATAAACTATGATTTTGTTCAAACGCTCCATCTTAGTCCATTCATTTTGGACTTGCTTGTGAGCGCCCTCTAGCGTTTGAGAAACCCCGAAGACATTACAGAGTGATAATTCTCCTCTCTGTAAGTTCTCTGATCTCAGTCGGTGCTCTCAGCGCTGCAGTACCTTGTCTTTAATCTTTCTCCAGGGCAGCTGACCAACAGCAAACTCCACCAGCATGTAGAAGAGTGACCACAGGTCATCATGGCGGCCCATTTCCTGCCCGGAGGAAACACAAACACTGCTAAGGTTTGACTGGTTTTGTCAGGGACACTCTCTGTGTGACTCTGTGGCAAATTGTGTGTTGAATGCAAGAAACACACAGACACCCTTCGTCAAAGTCCACGTATTTATTGATTTTCTAACACGTCCTCTACAGAGAGACACGTCCGCACATTTCAATACGCAGCTACTGTTTATTTGCTGAAAATAAAACATAAAATATGACTTGTACAAACTTTAAAGCACAGGTTTTTGTCCAATATGTTGAATTCAGTAAATAAACAGTAATTGTGTATTAAAATGTGCAGAAGTGTGTCTCTGTAGAGGATGTGTAAACTTATTCACACTCAGAAAATCAATTTGACCAGGGGCGCACAAACTTTTGCATAGGTGTGTGTATATGTACATATATACATACGTATATATATGTATATTGTGTGCATCTTTGTGTGCACATGTGTGCATCCATCACTCACTTTGTTTTTGTGGGCGTTCACTGATGCGTACCGGACGGTCCCGCGGAAACCAGCTACAGTTCTGGGCTGAAACACAAATATATAATCAATAATCAATGACCAAAACTAAGCATCTACTAACTGACCTCTACAGGCTCCACCCACAAATGTGTCCTTTCATGGCTACTTTTGAGAGGCTGGACAAAGTTTCCATTAAACCTAAACAGAGTCTTTCAGAGGGGTTTGGTGTAAAATGGCATGAGGTGATGTATGATGCTGAATCTTTGCAATAAGTTTGCAGCTAAAATAACGTTATGCATGGTGTTCCCCAGGGATCAGTCCTGGGCCCAATGACTTTCTCTAGTTATACGTCGTTCCTCAGTCAGATCATTATTACACTGATGAAGAGCTAATCTACTCTACACTCCCAAAGGTCCCTCATAGTGTTCTCTGAGTGATGCTACAGAAGAACCACTTTTGGTTCCCTAAAGAACCTGAGAAAAAGATCTGTGAGTGTGAAGTGCTTTTTAAGGCTATGTGGGTATATATTTGTGGGCGGAGCATAGCGAGATCGATTCCTAACTGGAATCTTAATTAGGAGGATTCTGTAGCATCGAGAGGGAGAGAGTTTCCAGAACAAAGAGATGAAACGGACACTAAACACTAAAATTTTAAAATTTAAAAAGTTCCCACGTATATGCTAGAACAGAAGAATGTCAAAGGATAGAACTGTAGAACAAAGGTATGGAGAACAGAAGTACAAAGCCATCTAGAACAGAAGAACAAAGGCATGTAGAACAGAAGAACATAGGTGGATATGGTGAAACTCACAATGACCCTCTGCCCGTACAGTAGGGGGCAGTGTTTGCGGAGGCAGGCGGGGGGGGGCATGCACGTCTGAAATCAAAACTCCAAAAAACGCTGAAACACAAAAAATACACAAAAATAATAAAAATCATGAGAAATAATTAAAACCCAAAAACATGCAATGTATAAAAGGTCAATGAAGAGAGAAAATTAGATATAAAATCTGTTTATCTGGTCACTAATATAACACTAATATTAGAATAAATACAAATAATATTAACAAAACAAGTGTTTCTGTGCGTCAGTGTGTTTGTTTAATCGTTTCCTGCCCTCTCCTCGACGAAGCTCACTATTAACTGTAGATAATCATCAATACCTGCTTTATCTAATCAACACGTCATTATGTAAAATCAGGAGCTGCAGGTGGAATATAATAAATCTGTGTGAAGCTGAGGGAGAAATCTGGAATGTTACGTTTTACTGTATTTATGTTTATTTGCATTTATTTTAATGATATACAATGATTTTACTGGCAAAAACACACTTACTGCCCAAATGGGTTTAATGTAATAAGTTCATTAACACTATATATATATATATATATATATATATATATATATATATATATATATATATATAAAATGTATGTAAGTGCTTAAACTTCATATTTGGTAGATTTGTTAATTGAAATGTGTTATTTTCAATAATATACATTATTTTATAAATAACTTTATCAGATGTGAATAACATGCAGCATAATGGCTGATAATTTTAAAATGTTTATGGCTATCATGCTAACACCTAGTTACCAAAAGAGTTATGCAATGTAAGTAACAAATACCAAAATATGAAAGATCTGATGTTCTTCATTGTGGAGATATAAAGGACCAAATTTACTCCAATGCCGTAAAAAAATTCCAAAATTTTCAGAAAACAAAAGAAAATCATGCATTTCTGTATTAACACTGTATGTGTTTAAACATGCATTAAATCAGAGAACAATCACTGAAAATTTGACACATCTAGCTTTAATGGTTCAAAACTTATTAAACATTAAACATTAAAAGCCTCTATATCTCTAACTAATCATGATACAAGAGTGAACTTTTATGCACGATCTACTGAACACAATGACATTGTTCAAATCTGAGATGGTCATATTTTAAGAAGTGGATTTTAGAGAAATTCTTTTTAAAAATCCTGTTTAGTCGCTGATTCTCCAGTGCAGGTCTGCCCTGCACAGCAGAACAGGAGAAAACACATCCAGGTATTTATACTGCTGTTATTAATCATTCATATCATATTCAGAATCACAGGAACGCCAGCAGCACCGCCACTGACGGAGAACCCTCTGCAGAAAACCCACTGTGAAGGCCAGAGAGGGTCAGCAAACACATGCTGGCCTACCGCAATAGTACAGCAATACAGGAAGAGAAATATAAGAGGGAGAGACAGAGAGACAAACAGAGAGAGAGAGAGAGACAGAGAGAGAGAGAGACAGAGAGAGATACCGAGAAAGAGACAGAGAGACAGAGAGAGAGACAGAGCGAGAGAGAGAGACAGAGAGAGAGAGAGAGAGAGAGAGAGAGAGAGAGAGAGAGAAATGCATTCTCTCCAGCTGAGCCTGGGGGCACAACAGACTGATGCATTCACCAACATTAAATATTCAGACTACTGCATTCAGAGAGAGAGAGAGAGAGAGACAGACAGACAGACAGACAGACAGACAGACAGAGAGAGAGAGAGAGAGTCAACCACTGTGGTCAACCAACCAAGATGTGTTTACTGTCTGAAGTTGCTTCTTTAGTTTCTGGAGCTCTGAGGCTAATGTAGCTAATGAGTAATGGAAGTTTATACCCCACTAATTAGCACAGTGCTAACTACAGGCCTAAATCATCACACAGTTAAACTGTGTGGAGCTGCACAAATTACATCCTCTGACTAACTTTACAATGTGCTCTAAATGGCTGATGTATTTCGCCAAGATTCTCCTTCATCAATGTAAACTGAGTGGGCCTAATCTACCAAGAGAAAGCTAACCACCAAGAGAATGCTAACCACCAAGTGAAAGCTAACCATTGAGTGAAAGCTAACCACCAAGAGAAAGCTAACCACCAAGAGAAAGCTAACCACCAAGAGAAAGCTAACCACCAGGAGAAAACTAACCACAAAGAGAATGCTAACCACCAAGAGAATGCTAACCACCAAGTGAAAGCTAACCACCAAGTGAAAGCTAATCACCAAGAGAAAGCTAACCACCAAGAGAATGCTAACCACCAAGTGAAAGCTAACCACCAAGAGAAAGCTAACCACTGAGCGAAAGCTAACCACCAAGAGAAAGCTAACCACCAAGAGAAAGCTAACCACCAAGAGAAAGCTAACCACCGACCGAAAGCGAACCACCGAGAGAGCTAACCACCGAGCGAAAGCTAACTCCCGGCGAAAGCTAACCACCAAGAGAAAGCTAACCACCAAGCGAAAGCTAACCACCAAGAGAAAGCTAACCACCGAGCAAAAGCTAACCACCAAGAGAAAGCTAACCACCGAGGGAAAGCTAACCACCGAGGGAAAGCTAACCACAGAGCGAAAGCTAACCACCGAGCAAAAGCTAACCACCGAGGGAAAGCTAACCACAGAGCGAAAGCTAACCACCGAGCGAAAGCTAACCACCGAGTGGTAGCAAGAGAGCCTCACTGCACATCACCACCACACAACACCCTGACTGAGTTTCCAGCTCCGCTGCAGCATCACAGACAGAACATTCTGGTGTTTGATGTTTCTGGCATTCTGTTAGCTCCATGCTGCTACATTAGCCTTGCAGCTCTAGTAAGACAGTAAACACGTCTCGGCTGATCCACCACATCTGAGTTAGAGGGGAAACTCCAAAGACTGAATCCTGACTGAAAGCTACGTTCAGACTTTCAGACCATTCTGCCTTACGGGCAGTGATGTCCTGACCGCTGAGCTGGACAGAGTAACGTACCGGTCGCACTTCTCCGTTGGTGTTGGTGTACTGTCGCGCGAGCCCGAAGTCCAGCATGTAGCACTTCCTGCAGGTGGACGGAAGTCTCCCCATAGCGAAATTAGACTGAAACACAAACAGAAATTAATATCAGCTTTCAGATATTACAGCACAGGAGCCGTATTACAGAAACATCTACACGCTGAAATCTGATTAGTCTCCATGACGACTTCAGTAGGGATTGAATTTCGGACAGTATCTGTTACAGAATAACAGCTCCTAACTTCATAATCTCATCATGAACTCCAGATCAGAAAACAGCATCACACAAACATCCTAACTAGACTAAACCTCCTAAATCCTGTCCTAACTTTAGGATGAACCCCAACAGGGTCCTCACTTCTGTTTAAGGTCCGTTTCTATGGTTTTTAGGCAGCTGTGTCAGCAGCATAGTTCACTACCAGCATAATGAGCTCCATTTATTCCTACTGTAAAACGCTGCTTTCACTGTGAGATGATTTTCTTTTCTAACTCTGCGTTTTAAAGATCTCAGACGCTGCAGACTCGATCTCCACCGCCCCTCTGATCACCTTCGTGTGTTAATGTTGATGATGAAATATTACAGTGATGGTGGTGAATAATGAGGAGACGGAGCTGAACGTGTGTCTGTTTATTAGGAGGAGTAACGTTAGCGCGCTCGGCTAAAGCGTTTGGGAAATGGAGACTGAAACTGGGGATCAGTGACGATCTGATAAACAGCAGGGGGCGCTCTCACAGTATTCACTACTTACAGTTTATCACTCTTTAGTCCTCTTTAGACCTTTTTGACCTCTGTGCAGGTGTGTGTGTTGTGTACAGGTGTCTCTGTGCAGGTGTGTGTTGTGTACCGGTTTGATGTCTCTGTGCAGGTGTGTGTGTTGTGTACAGGTGTCTCTGTGCAGGTGTGTGTGTTGTGTACAGGTGTCTCTGTGCAGGTGTGTGTGTTGTGTACAGGTGTCTTTGTGCAGGTGTGTGTGTTGTGTACCGGTTTGATGTCTCTGTGCAGGAAGCCCACTGAGTGAATGGCTTCGATGGCCTCTAGGATCTGCTTGCCCAGTCTCAGAGTGGTGCTCATGGTGAAGGTTCCTCGTGGCTGACTCCGCCTCAGATCTGCCAGGTTACGGCCCTGTTACACACACACACACACACACACACACACACACACACACACACACGTCATCACTAATTTGTGCGACTGCATGTTTACGAGTGTATACAACACAACATTGAGACTTCATCTCAACTCACTTCTAAGGTTGATATTAACACCAGAATTTAGACATAAACTCCAAAATAAACTGCATTTTACAGTAAAACATTTCACTGTTTACTCCAGTTTTCTGCAGACGTCATTTTTCACTGTATACTAAAGAACATGAAGAATATGATGCACTTTCCTCGAATCAATCAAACCAATCATTCACTAAACCCCTCCCTTAAATCCTGAATATCCAATCATAGCTCAGCTGCTGTAGCCAGCCCTCTAACTAGCTTTCAGAATGATGTGGGAGGTGTTTTTAATCAGACAGAACAGGAGTTTGGACGGCTAACGCTAATTCGTTAGCCTTAGCATTAGCTGCTAGTGGATGACCGCAGTCCTGGACTGTGATCATGTCCTGAGCATTAAGACCCTGAATCACAGGTGGGACTCACTGTTATTATCAGTGGTGTTAAACACTGAGCGCAGTGTTAGTTCAGTGTATGAAGGAGAGAAACCGTGTCTACCTGAAGCTGCATGACGACGTAGTTGAATTTATCGTTTCTTCCACAACCGATAAACTTACAGACGTGGTTTTTACCTGAAAAACAGACAGAACGGACACGTAAACTGTACAGCACTGATTACACATTCATACGCGTAGATTCATACATAGATACAGACGATTCTACTGAGCCGGTTCAGAGTCAGAGCCGTAACAGGTTTCAGACTTTTAACTGATTTTAGACTAAAACCCTTTTAATCTGAGTGACTCGAAACCTAATTATGATTATTTTATTAAAACTAATCATTTACTGTTTCTTTTTGTCACGACCAAAACAATCATAACACCAAACTTTACCAAACGTTTCAGTAGTGACTGTTTCGCTAGTGACAGTTTTGACATGCCATCCCTCCTGAATCCGACCATCCCTTAATTTCACTGTTCGCTGAATTGCGTATCCTCTCTCTCTTCGCTAATCGCTGTGAGGAAACCTTTACAAACGCAGCTCCTGCCTTTGTAGAGCATTTAAACCTTATTCTTGCACAAAATCTCAAATCAGTCTTTAAGTAAAACAAAACAGCACAGTTTCCGTTTTATGACCGATTGTTCGTCTCTGTGAGAAAGTCTTAGCGGTTAGCTTCCCCCCCTCTGAGGTGAAAAGTTTGCTGCTATGGCAACTAGTCTTACGTATACAGAGTGAAGGCGCCCCCCAGAGGACAAACCTAATATCCCTGTATACACAATACACTGTTTTAGGCAGAAAGGGGAGTTACAGAAACCCAGTATGACCAAAGGTGGCCGATATTGGGAGCCCATCATGCTATTGGTATTAGCATCAAATTCAAACGTTGTTATTGACAAAAACGTCATGGACATTAATCTACACACACATCTCTACTGAAAACATTAATTTGGAGAGTAAAATGTTTTCATTCATTTAGCTTAGATTCGATTTTTTGTTTCGAAGTTGGTGGTGAGTAGCGTCTCTGTGCTGGTTCACTTAGAGTAGAACCCAAAAACACAGCCAGCAAACACAGCTTTGAACAGCTGTTCACACAGAAAATCATCATATTTTACACTAAAACACTAAAAAGTGCTGAACTGCAGAAAATATGGCGATTCTTAATGTTCCACACTGATTTACAGACTTCGGGACTCATTTACTTCAAAACAATGGGATCTAACTGCTCACCATGTGGCCATGAGGGACAGGGATGCAGCCTCACTTCCTGCTCTGATATACAGGGGCGGGGCTAAAATAAGGCCCCACCCACATATTAAAACAGTGACAAAAAACGGGGGACAGTGTTTTTATTTAAACATTAAACTCAAATGTAAATCTTTCAACTTCACTTTAGAAGAAATAAAAGAAATATTTTACAAAACAACATTGAAAAAAATACAAAAAACGTATGTATTATTTTCAGAAGTGTAAATTTAGGGGTTGGGGTTTGGGACGGACTCCTCTTGATAAAAAGTGTGTATATATTCAGCTGATTACTGTCTCTATTAATGTCTTGGGTTTAAACTGATCAGAACACTGTAAATATCTAAGATCTCAATACTTTTTGTTTTTAATAGTTTCTCTGCAGTTTGAGGGGAAAAACGTAATAAACACATTAACAACATTTAAAGCTGATTTTCACAGCTCTGTGTGTTTAAACAGCAGATGGCGCTCAGATGCAAATTAATATTACATCACTTTAAAATCATCCTCGGCTAAAAATGCCTTTAAAAACCTGCGGATTAATATTAAACACAGAGAAGAGCTTCAGCTTTGGCCTCTTTCCCGTTTTCTAATAAAAGCTGCAGTTTTGGGTTATTTTTGGCGGCGAGAGCAGCTGAACGTCCTCACAGACACACAGCGGTCAGACCGGAGTGTGTTCTCTCTCTCTGATGACCGTGAGCTGTATGACATCACACTGTGTCTCCATCACATGACCGCCGTCACGTCTGCCTCATTACTGCCGCTTCACGCAGAACGTGCTGCAGATCTGAGCTCCACGTGCCTCAGCCATGACTTTAAAGGGAAACCCCAACAGATTTCCCAGAATTCCTGCATCATCATTCAGAGTGGTTTGGTGTGAAACGCTCTGTTCTAGATAATCTTACCGAGTCAGAACTGTTCACAGTGGTGGTGATAGGAACCAGACGTCCACCTCTAAAAGCTCCCTCACAGAAAGTTCCTACAGTAAATGGTTATGAATTCACTGCCTGATGACTGAGACACTGTTTTATGATAGTTTAGAGAACTTAAACTCCATTCATGGTGGAGGGATACATGCAGGGCGCTGTGAGGCAAAACAGTCCCCAAAGAAAACGTATTATTTCAGATTTTCCACTATTTTCCATCATCACCATTCCATACATTACTATATATAAGGGTAAATATATGGTTGTGAAAAGTGGTCCGTAAATAATACGTATTATTATTATTATTATTTTAGCAAATAGCTGCTGTTTTAGATGATCAGCATATGAGAATAAAGGAAACTGGATCTTTTAAACCTCTATTTATAATCCTGTATCACTTTCTATGAAGCCTGTATTCATTAATAGTTATAAATGTGCTTATAACTCTTTGTAAGGTTGCAACAATGCTTATAAACTCTTATAAAAAAGGCTGTAATAATATATGATAATTAATAATTTGATGAACATGTAAAAAGTGTTGCTATCTATTATAATCACTTTTAAACAAAAGAGCTTAATAATAAGCACCTATAATACATATTAACACTTATAAACACGTTATAAATCTTTAAGTGAAGTGACGGATAGTTTAGGTTGTATTCGAGTGTTAAATGCTGTTCTGTTCATGTCTGTCAGTGTGTAATACACTACAGTACACTGTATATCTGTCATTGTTGCAGGATGAGCTGGAGAGCGTCCTGCACTGTGAGGTTAAACAGGTGCTGTTCATGTATTCTGGAAATATTTGGACCCTCTTAAAAAAGATTGCTCTTCAAGGGTTCTTTAGTAAAGGAAATGGTTCTATATAGAGCCGTGAACACACTTCGCATGGTTTAAAGGTTCTTTGCATCATGAAATCGTTTTTTAAAGATTGATAGAGAATGTGTGGAGGTGTGGGGCTGTGGAGCTGTGGAGGTGCAGAGCTGTGGAGGTGTGGAGATGTTGAGCTGTGGAGGTGTGGAGATGTTGAGCTGTGGACATGTGGAGGTGCAGAGCTGTGGAGATGTGGGACTGTGGAGGTGTGGAGATGTTGAGCTGTGGACATGTGGAGGTGCAGAGCTGTGGAGGTGTGGAGCTGTGGAGGGGTGGGGCTGTTGAATTGTGGAGGTGCAGAGCTGTGGAGGTGTGGGGCTGTGGAGGTGTGGAGATGTTGAGCTGTGGAGGTGTGGAGCCGTGGAGGTGTGGGGCTGTGGAGGTGTGGGGCTGTGGAGCTGTGGAGGTGTGGAGGTGCAGAGCTGTGGAGGTGTGGAGATGTTGAGCTGTGGAGGTGTGGAGATGTTGAGCTGTGGACGTGTGGAGGTGTGGAGATGTTGAGCTGTGGACGTGTGGAGGGTGTGGGGCTGTGGAGCTGTGGGGCTGTGGAGGTGCAGAGATGTGGAGGTGCAGAGCTGTGGAGGTGCAGAGGTGACAGATCTCCTACCCTGCAGCTTCTTCAACACGGCCACCTCCATCTTCAGCACCTGTTTGGGCTGCTGGGCCGACTCCACCTTCAGTGCCACGTTCTCCCGGGTCAGCAGGTCCAGCGCCTCGTAAATCTCCCCAAAGCCCCCACCACCAATCTTCTTCAGCTGGACAGCACACGGAGAAAATGGTCAGACGCTCTCAGCCAACAGTGTGGGTGTGTTTGATGCTCAGCAGTGGAGGGACTTTTATTCTACAAAATAATCCAGTACGATCACTCCCACCCAGTCAGCCAATCACTGATCAGTCTTCAGCTTTAGCATTGGAGCTACAAAGCTAATGTAGCTAACCAGTAATAGAAGCTTATACACCACAAATTAGCATGACGCTAACTGCACACCTGAATAAGCTATTAATGACAGTCTGAGCTGAATGTTATGCATCTGATGCTGATTAGTGGAGGATTAGCTCCCATCACCTGTTAGCTACATTAGCCTCGTAGCTCCAGAGCTAAAACTACAGAAGCACATGAAACACGTCTCAGCTGATCAGCCGCATTTACAAAATACAAGTCTTTGTATTTTTATAAACAAATGAAGTTTTTTTGTTTTTTTTAAATGGATATTTTGTTTAATAATATATTTGTATGACGTTCTGTAAAAATGTCACAATGCGTCATATAAATGCAGTATTTTTACCGTGTTGTTCGCTCTTATTCGTGGTAAAAGTCTTCATCTCTACCTGCAGTCTGTTGTGATTTTATAAGTAGAGCCTCTTTAGTGTCCATAAAAGGTAAAAGGGGTGGGGCTGCTCCGGTGCCTCATTTGCATATTTATAGCCTGGGAGGAGATTATTATAATGAATGATCTTCTCCAGTTTACCAACACTGAGAGTAAACACTGTTAAAAGCACATTAAAACTCTTCGGCTCTAAAATTCCTGCTTCACTAAAGCTGTTATTACTCTGTTATTACTGTGCGCTGGGGTGTTTTCATTGTTTGGTTTCGCCCAGAATCAAATGAGCGAAAGTGAAATCAAACATAGATTTTACAGTTTCACACGATTTTTAAATGTACTCAGCACAAAACTCCACTCCAGCTCATCCCTCCAGCCCAGAGCGACCAAAACAGTCACGTATTTTTCTCTGTCCTGTCTTATTTTCTCAAAACAGTCACTATGTTGAAATCATAACATTCTTTCTGGACGAACAGCAATTCATTTTTCCAACTTTGTCGTTATTCTGACTCAGAGTTGAAGTCTTGAGAGAATAAATCACTGTTCTGGCCTAATAGAGATGAACTCCTGTGTACTTTATACATTTTGTAAATGAAGTAATTCTAATTCTTTCTAATGCGTCGCTCTGAACCTGAAACAGGAACCAGGTGGAAACGAGCTTCTGTACGAAAACCTCCTGAGTCAAACAGGCAGCTTCACTGAGCTGCTCACAGGTTAATCACAGAGTCACGTCTGTGTTCTTAGCTGGTAAGATGCTGAACTGGAACAAACTAGCTGTGCATCACTGCAAAGTGTCGGTGCACACTCTCACACTCTCTCAGAGCAGTGTGTCGGCTGTGTGGAGCTCTTCCTGTCCGTGATGCTTCCTGACAGGCGGCTCTCGGAGATCACGACCAAATGAGCCGTGAAATCATCTCTTACGCAATCTACCGCTCAGCACCGCCGGCCCACTGCACCTCACAGCTCCAGCTGATCTCACTCTCCCATCACCTCCTCTGAGCTGAGCGCTGGACCCTCACAGCACCGCACCTCATCCTGACCTGCCCTTTACACAGAATCTAGTACTTAAACAGTTAACCACAAATGGGAAGGTGTAGCTATGGTATCGCAGGCGGTCGCTAAGGTGTAGCTATGGTATCCCAGGTGGTTGTTAAGGTGTGACTAGGCCATTGCTGTTATGTCCCTGGTGGTTGCTAAGGTGTTCCTGTGGTATCCAACGTGGTTGCTAAGGTGTGGCTACGGTATCCTAGGTGGTTGCTAAGGTGTAGCTATGGTATCCAACATGGTTGCTAAGGTGTAGCTAAGGTATCCTAGGTGGTTGCTAAGGTGTCGCTATGGTATCTCAGGTGGCTGCTAAGGTGTAGCTTGGCCACTGCTATGTTATTTTAGGTGGTTGCTGAGGTGTTGCTAGGGCGTTGCTATGGTATCCCAGTTGGTTGTTAATATGCGTATATATAGAGTATGTGCTAGTATGAGCCGGTATGTAATGTCTATGAGGGTCAGTGTGAGAGATTTTCTCAACATTCCTTTCTAATGGGGGAAAAATCCTGCTTGAATGAACACTGTATGAAAACTGTACACGCAGTCGGTCCCAAGAGCACAAGCGCACTGTTCTCCTACAGGGCTCTGTGACAGTTTTGTGGTTGTAGCTCGAAAACTGCGACCTGTGAGAACAGTAGAAAAAGCTGGACTCACCACTTTCCAGCGGTCCTTCACCATGCAGTTTGGGGGCAGGATGTCCTGCTGCTCCGAGCTGCCGTTCATGTTGCCGTTGTCCTGCAGCGCTGGCACTAGACACTGCCAACCCGACAGCACGCGGGCCGCGCCCAGCTTAAACGACCCATTTATCTGCAGAGAACCGGCCACACGGCCACACAGACACACATACACATAGATACGGCACGTTAACACGGACACACTCAACTGTACACGTCCTCACTGTGCTGTTCTCAAAAATAAAGGTTCCTACATGGTTCTTGGCTTGAATGTTCGGTTCTATGACCCTTTACATTAAGTGGACATTGTTCAAACTGGAGAAAGCTTCTTCAGTCACAAATCTAATTTACAAAAAGGGTTATTTAAAGAACAATTCACTATAAGGTCCTTTCAGGAACCAGAAGTGGTTCTTCTATGGCGTGAAACCCTTTTTAGCACCTTTATTTTTCAGAGTGTTACTGAATCTGCAGATTTGGAACGCAGGTTTGAGAGAGTTGCAGCAGTAAATGGATCCTGTGAGCTGAGAAACACTGATTTGTGTAACATTTAGTGTTTTTTATCATGATGCTTTAATTCATGATGCTATGCTAGCACAAAGAACACCTACTCTACTGCTGAGTAACCGTGACATAATCACTTAATATCCATATTTATGGATAAATGCTATAAATATAGGCTGTATCAGCCGATGCAGATATCAAAGCGGCAGTTATCACTCCTGGCCCGCAGTGCTGCTCTGAGAGCCGTTAGCTGTGCTGAGAGTGTGAATGGAGTCCTGCTATTAGCTGGCCCAAATACTCCCTGACCCAAATCCTTCTGGAGGAACAAACAGCCGCCGACAAAGAAACTGAGTGAAGGGGATGACGACGCCACGGCGGCACCAAGATCATTCCAATATGAAATGAACTGGGTTTGAGAGAGTTTCTGCTAAGGGTGAACAGAGTGGTCATCTGATATATCCACTAGTTGGCGCTGTGAGCTTCTGATTTTAGTAAAATATTAAAAACAGAAGCAGTTTTAGCTCAAAGTATTTCACTAGTGTGGAAGCACTACACAAACCCAGCTATCAAGGGATGACCTCTTAACGTGAGTGGACGCTCTATTTAAAACCACTGAATAACATTATGTGTAAAGAATTAGGAGGATGTACTGGGAAATTTATGAACGTTTGAAAGAATTCCGCTATATGAAATCACGTTTCAGTTACGACATTCAGGAGACAATCATCAACGTAAATATTTGGTCGTGTGCCGTTCACAGCATGGTCAACAAGAACATTCAGAGAATATTAATTAGTTACATTGCTTAAAAAAAACTATAAACATTTGAAAATATTGTTTTAATATCTGATACAATATTTTAGAATGGAATACGTTTATCATATAATGAAACCCAGTGTATAGTAGGTTCAATAGGTAGGTTTCAGATGCTTTAAAGGACGATGTGTTACAAGGCGACAGGAGAAGGATCCTAACAATAAAAAAAGTCCAAGTAACGTTAAAAAGTAAAACTGTAAATACTGTAAATGTTTACTATAAAAGCAAGGGGATGTTCTTGGAACACTGGGATATATAACATCCTTACTACTTTCATCGCTACTCTGCGAACGTCCTAAGTGCGTCATTTTGTTAGTGGGAAACTAAGCTAGGCTAACAACTGCCTACTTTAACAGGAAGGGGCCGTCTGACTGAAATGCAAACTGAACAATAACAGAACGCGGTTTGTCAACAATGTCGAAAGGGTGCTGCAACAAAAACACACCTGCAGGAAACAAAGTGATGTACATGTTGACAAACATGCAAGCACATTTTGATTACTAACTAATAAACACTTCAAAAGAAAACTCATAACTTTTATCTTTTAATAATTTTTTAAGATGGGATGACGAAGGATCATTGTGGTCTTGGTGTGCGTAGCGGGCAACTTGTTACTGGTCACTAGTTAGCATTTAGCTTGATTAACAAAAGTTTGTTTGGTTGTCAGACTGATAAAAAACAGTTCACAGAAATGTAGTTTGACATGAGGGGTTAGATTCTGGTGTCTGCATTAGAAGGTCCATGTATCTCTGTCGACTCCTAACATCAAGAGACTAACACTATATTCTTCGTTGACGTCCGAAACGCTCGTTTTTTCTTACATTAGGGTGAATCACAACTAATCAACTAGTACATATTAATAAGCAACCAACCTCCAGTTCCTGCATCGGTGTGGTTTCTAAAGGGCGTCAGCGTCAGTGAAGAAGGTGCGTTTGTTCTGAACCTTTCTTACCTTCATGAGCTCTGTTCACTCACCGTTCCTCCGCTAGAAGCTCAAAAACACACCTACACACTCTACACAGCTCACCCAGCAGAGCTCCTTCTCAGAACGTTCTCACATTCATTCTGAATAACGAAGCAGAACCCAAACCCATGCTCCGCCGCATGCAGTGCCGAAGTCTCAGAGGCGGCATGCAGAGAAAAATTAGCTTAGCATCAGCGCTAGTCAACACATGCCAGCCCAGCGGAGCCCGACAGGCTCCATCGCAGCGCTTACAGTCGTCTACAGGGAATGAAGCACCGATAAGCTCTGGAACCAGAGAATTGCACCGAAGCCCAGGCGCAGGGAGCGGCCGCACGCTGTTGCTAACTCGTGTGCTACAATATTTGAAGACTCTGTATTAGCGCACAGTTCTCACAGCTGGGCTAGCTAATCTGTAAGACATCAAACTGCTGGAGGGAAAGAAATAGAAGTAAAAGAAGCTACGATCTTCAGAGTGAGTTCAACTTGATTCAAACCCACACGAGTTGGCAACACTGCGCAGTAATTATCCCACAAGGCTCATCACCGATTTAGGCTTTATAAAAAGTCAGATTCCACCAGCTCCCCCCCTCCATTACCCCAAATGCGGCTGACCAGCCAAGACATGTTTGGAGTCTGAAGTTTGCTCCTTTATTTTTAGCACTGGAGCTACATTGTGACGTCCAGACGGCTGCTAGCCTTCATTTTTCTTCTTAACCAATTTAAGGGATATGAGTATTTCATCTAGGACGATGTGTGGTAGAGCTAGAGCTGGGTGAGATGGTCAAAATCCTTTAACAATATACTTTTTCTAGATTATTTCGTATCAACATTCTTAGAAAATGATTTAAAAAAAACTAAGCCCACCCTGGAGATGGAATACGGTCTTCATGTTCCACAATTCCTCTTGTTCTGTGACATCTCCCTCAAATTTACAAACTTTATTACACTGAAAACAACTCTCCAGCTAAGGATGTGTTCAGAAGGTCCTCATAAACTCATGAATTTCGAGATTAACTCAAAAGAAAACAGACTTAAATACATGTGGTAAACTCAGACGAGCTCCCTGTTAACTGAGCTGTGCCGAAGTGCACTGAAGAAGCATCTGTTGAAAGTTCAAACCGCTGAGGGTCCTGCCAGACTGAGGAGTGACAGAGAGGAAACTACGTTTTTAGAGCTACTTTTATCTTTTCACAGTTCAGGCCGAGGCAGAGGTGTGGCAGAGGGCGGTGCTGCTAGCGTGTGGAAACATTAGCCTCCCTACCCACTGTAATCCACCTTCCTGTTAACCCTGCTGAAAGAGCCATTTCAGCGCCGCTCGGCTAATTTTATCTGCCCTCACTCTGAGAGTCCGACAGGATACAGTTACCATAGCAAAGGAAGGAAGTCTAGCAGCAGAGAAAACCACCCCACACAGTCCACAATATACTGCTTATATAACTCATCCTCATCATACTCCACATACCCCAATCATACTCCACATACCCCTCATCATACTCCACATACCCCTCAACACACTCCACATACCCCTCAACACACTCCACATACCCCTCACCACACTCCACATACCCCTCAACACACTCCACATACCCCAATCATACTCCACATACCCCAATCATACTCCACATACCCCTCATCATACTCCACATACCCCAATCATACTCCACATACCCCAATCATACTCCACATACCCCTCAACACACTCCACATACCCCTCAACACACTCCACATACCCCAATCATACTCCACATACCCCAATCATACTCCACATACCCCTCATCATACTCCACATACCCCAATCATACTCCACATACCCCTCATCATACTCCACATACCCCAATCATACTCCACACACCCCTCATCATACTCCACATACCCCTCAACACACTCCACATACACCTGAACACACTCCACATACCCCAATCACACTCCACATACCCCAATCATACTCCACATACCCCTAATCGTACTCCACATACCCCAATCATACTCCACACACCCCTCATCATACTCCACATACCCCTCATCATACTCCACATACCCCAATCATACTCCACACACCCCTCATCATACTCCACATACCCCTCATCATACTCCACATACCCCAATCATACTCCACACACCCCTCATCATACTCCACATACCCCTCAACACACTCCACATACACCTGAACACACTCCACATACCCCAACCACACTCCACATACCCCAATCATACTCCACATACCCCTAATCGTACTCCACATACCCCAATCATACTCCACATACCCCTGAACACACTCCACATACCCCTCAACACACTCCACATACCCCTCAACACACTTCACATACCCCAATCATACTCCACATACCCCTCAACACACTCCACATACCCCTCAACACACTCCACATACCCCTAATCATACTCCACATACCCCAATCATACTCCACATACCCCTCAACACACTCCACATACCCCAATCACACTCCACATACCCCTCAACACACTCCATATACCCCATCAACACACTCCACATACCCCTAATCGTACTCCACATACCCCTAATCGTACTCCACATACCCCAATCGTACTCCACATACCCCTCAACACACTCCACATACCCCTAATCGTACTCCACATACCCCTAATCGTACTCCACATACCCCAAACGTATTCCACATACCCCTAATCGTACTCCACATACCCCAATCATACTCCACATACCCCTCAACACACTCCACATACCCCAATCACACTCCACATACCCCTCAACACACTCCACATACCCCAATCGTACTCCACATACCCCAATCGTACTCCACATACCCCAATCGTACTCCACATACCCCTCAACACACTCCACATACCCCTCAACACACTCCACATACCCCTCAACACACTCCACATACCCCAATCATACTCCACATACCCCTCAACACACTCCACATACCCCTAATCATACTCCACATACCCCTCAACACACTCCACATACCCCTAATCGTACTCCACATACCCCTCAACACACTCCACATACCCCAATCGTACTCCACTTACCCCTCAACACACTCCACATACCCCTCAACACACTCCACATACCCCAATCACACTCCACATACCCCTCAACACACTCCATATACCCCATCAACACACTCCACATACCCCTAATCGTACTCCACATACCCCTAATCGTACTCCACATACCCCAATCGTACTCCACATACCCCTCAACACACTCCACATACCCCTAATCGTACTCCACATACCCCTAATCGTACTCCACATACCCCAATCATACTCCACATACCCCTCAACACACTCCACATACCCCAATCATACTCCACATACCCCTGAACACACTCCACGTACCCCAATCGTACTCCACATACCCCAATCGTACTCCACATACCCCTCAACACACTCCACATACCCCAATCGTACTCCACATACCCCTCAACACACTCCACATACCCCTAATCGTACTCCACATACCCCAATCGTATTCCACATACCCCTCAACACACTCCACATACCCCTAATCGTACTCCACATACCCCTAATCGTACTCCACATACCCCAATCATACTCCACATACCCCTCAACACACTCCACATACCCCAATCATACTCCACATACCCCTGAACACACTCCACATACCCCAATCGTACTCCACATACCCCAATCGTACTCCACATACCCCTCAACACACTCCACATACCCCAATCGTACTCCACATACCCCTCAACACACTCCACATACCCCAATCGTACTCCACATACCCCTCAACACACTCCACATACCCCAATCGTACTCCACATACCCCTAATCGTACTCCACATACCCCAATCGTACTCCACATACCCCAATCGTACTCCACATACCCCTAATCGTACTCCACATACCCCTAATCGTACTCCACATACCCCTAATCGTATTCCACATACCCCTAATTGTACTCCACATACCCCAATCGTACTCCACATACCCCAATCGTACTCCACATACCCATAATCGTACTCCACATACCCCTAATTGTACTCCACATACCCCAATCGTACTCCACATACCCCAATCGTACTCCACATACCCATAATCGTACTCCACATACCCCTAATTGTACTCCACATACCCCAATCGTACTCCACATACCCCTAATCATACTCCACATACCCCTCAACACACTCCACATACCCCAATCGTACTCCACATACCCCTCAACACACTCCACATACCCCAATCGTACTCCACATACCCCTCAACACACTCCACATACCCCAATCGTACTCCACATACCCCTCAACATACTCCACATACCCCTCAACACACTCCACATACCCCAATCGTACTCCACATACCCCTAATCGTACTCCACATACCCCAATCACACTCCACATACCCCTAATCGTACTCCACATACCCCAATCACACTCCACATAGCCCAATCACACTCCACATACCCCTCACCGTACTCCACATACCCCTCAACACACTCCACATACACCTCAACATACTCCACATACCCCACCTTACTCCCACATTACTCCCCAACACATTCCCATATTACCCCATTTACCCCCCATATTTCCATATTACTCCAAACATCACCCCACATCCACCAGATCTCATTCCCATTTTACCTCACTGTGTCCCCACTCAGCCCCCCATACACCCTATTACTATACAGCATATAGAAGCTAACAGGCTAACCATCTTGCAATCAGCTGCAAGCACGCGGTGGATGCGGGGGTTGGGGTGGTCGGTGGGGCGGAGGGGTCATTCGGGTTTCCTGGATCAATACAGCGGAAATCATCCAGTAAGTCCTACCAGGAGAGGAAAGCTGCAGCAGCCATTTAGTGCTCAAACTTCATAAGAGGAGTGAAAAGTGCAGTCGCTAATGAACTCTCACCATATTCATTAACCTTATGGCTCACAAATATCACCAAATTAGTGGGCCAGAAAGCTCCTCAGCCTACAAGCCAAAACAGAACAAGAGAGGAAATTCGTTACACCTCCTTCATCTACAGACTCACTGTCCATCACAGTTCATCTGAAACATTAAACTATAAAACAGGGGTCTCAGACTACCGGCCCACGAGGGTCATACATGAATATTTATCCTCAGACTCATGACTGCAGTGTTTAAAGGCAGGAACAGAGGAGCCACTCGAACGCAGCACACTGACTGATTTAGCCACAGCTAACTCAGCTGATACTGTAATTTGGAGCGATAGTCAGTTAAACCTGCCCTCGCGGATGAAATTATCACACTAATCCACTCAGAACGCAAAATTAACAGCTCAACACTTCACTCGCATTAACTTCGCTCACGCTCAGCAGGAACGACAGTGCTTTCACAATAAGAGTCCCATATAATTTTAATGTTAATCGTGTTTACTTGATTTTATTAAAATATTTATTACATAGCTATGTGTGTATATTACTAATACTACTTCTAGCAATAATAAAAAAATATATATATTATTACAATATTTCTAGTAATAATAATTATTATTACACTCTGCCCACTCGGAGAAGTTTAAGACCCCTGATTTATAGTCATTAAACAGTTTGAGGTCAGTCTACATCCTGCGAAGGTCAATATTTTTGTCACCATTATTACACTGTTATGTCACTCACCACTGGGACAGTCCAGGTCACTCACACATACATATATACACACACTCAGGCCGTAAAGTGACCAGCGCACACACATGCAGCAGCGCAGTGAAGCAGAGGTGCAGCAGAAAAAAGCTCGTGCAGCAGGACATTAAAAAACAACAACAACAACAACAACAACAACAACAGAAATGAGGTCACCGTTAGGAGCGTCGTCAGTGTAAACTAAACACAGGAAACACAGTGTGCAGACACAGCAAAATAAACACACAGTGATGAAAAACGCTTGATGCTACAAACAGGCCACACAAACACATTCACTGACCGCACTACGCTAACCTTACACACCTCTGACCACAAATCAGTCTACAGATGGTGCATCTGGGCTTTACGATGCTCAAATTTACATACAGTTCATATGAAGCAGTTCAGGCTTTAGCTCAGGATGTGTGTTACAGGGCAATTACACCTATTAAAAAATCCTGCATAATTTAGTGGTTCAGATGTAAACAGAGTGGTTCAGAGTGGTTCTCCGTTCTAGATAAACTTACAGAGTGAGAACTGTTCACAGTGGTGGTGATAGGAACCAGACGTCCACCTCTAAAAGCTCCCTCACAGAAAGTTCCTACATGAAATGGTTATGAATTCACTGCCTGATGACTGAGACACTGTTTTATGATAGTTTAGAGAACTTAAACTCCATTCATGGTGGAGGGATACATGCAGGGCGCTGTGAGGCAAAATAGTCCCCAAAGAAAACTGATTATTTCAGATTTTCCACTATTTTCATCATCAACATTCCATATAAACTCAGAAGACTCGTGTAGGTTCACTGGTGGTTCTGGATAGTAAATAAAATGTCTATATTTGTGTTGTAGTCATGGCGACCCCTGGCTCCTATCACCACCACTGTAAAGACATCTGGACCATTTCACACCAAACCGCTCTGAATCACTCTGATTACATCTCACTGAGTTATGGAGGAATTTTGAAAAGTTGATGGATTTCTCCTTCAATCACAACTGAACCCTGACACAGAAAACTCTCTTCTCCTCATCACTGTCCGCTGTTTCAGGGTCTGCGCTGTAATGATCCCGTACCCACCTGGTGTCCATCTCCTCAGGGCTGAGCTCCTCAGGATGGGCCCAGCAGATCTCAACAGGGTTTACACTCAAAAACTGTTCGAGAGCAGTGAAGACCTGCACAGCCTGGACCGACGGTCAACCAGTCCTAACGGACCACCACACTGAGCACAGCTCAGCACCATCTACACAGCCCAGCACGCTGACAGTTACACTTCCTTCCTAACACATTTATAATATACATATTCCCTCCTAATGTAAATATTCCTTCCTATTGCACATATTCATATTCCTAATGCACTTATTCCTGATTCACTTATTCCTAATTCCTTCATAATACAAATATTCCTTTTAAACATATTCATAATGAACATATTCCTATTGTACACGTTCCTAATGCAGACATTCCTAATTTACATATTCCTTCCTAATGTACATATTCCCAATCCAGATATTCCTAATTCATATATTCCTATTACATATATCCCTAATGCACATATTCCTTCCTAACACACATATTCCTAACGCACGCGCAGTAAAACCCCATAAGCAAAAACATAATAAAAGTCCTGTGGACTCCGCTGCCGTTGCCCTGCTGTAGATAATCCCACAGCACATCCAGTTTAAACTGCAGATGCTTTAGACATCTCGCCCCATCGGAGGTGTGTGATGTCCCAGAATGCACCGCGCCGCTTCAGTCCCGCACTGCAGCCCGCAGAACAGGAGCAGAGCCGGAGCCGGCCAGCAGGGGGCGCCCACCACCACACAACACACATATACACACATTCAGCTCAAAATATTGTACCTAATTCTCTTTTTCCCCTCTTACGTCATGTTTTATGCTTATTCATCATCGTTATTAGTGTTTATTAGTGTTTATTACTGTTATTCCCGTCATTCCCGCGTATGATGATATGCAAAAAGGTTCTAGATTATTAGATATTGTTCTTTAGGCCTTTTTAAAGGGATCAGTTACTATAAGTGAAACGAAGCTCTCAGTTTCTGTAACCTGATTAAATCAGATCGTTTTTCACGAGTAAATTGTTCCTGTGAAAGGAAATGGGAGACGTTCCCGTTTGCTGCTGTGACGGCGCCCCCTGCCGGAACTACAAATCCCAGCGTGCGTCACGTGTTCTCATCCAATTTCACAAATGCGACAAAAAACCTTCAATATTTTACAGCCAGGAAACGCTGTGTGGGTCATTCAGGAGTGAAACTGGCTCATATAAACGTTATTTACTCTCGTTCTAGCTTTACCTCAGCACAGTCACATCATTCAGAACCACAGAACCAACAACCACAGAGCAGAACCTCGGCAGAACCTCAGGAGAGCCTCAGCAGAACCTCGACTCATCGCACGTTTCACGAGGCAGAAGCTGGAGCCCTGTTCGCCAGCTTCTCGTTCGAATTTTCCGTTCCACCTTAAATGGTGCGGCAGTTACATTCAGGCTCCTCAGGCACATGAACGTAACTGCCGCACCATTTAAGGTGGAACGGAAAATTCGAACGAGAAGCTGGCGAACAGGATCCGGGGCCTGTAGAAAAAGCACAACCACAGATTCCCCCGCACCCCCCTCCTCACCCGCTCATCAGCAGGCGCGCGCTGCAATCCTCATCTTCATCACCATCACCATCATCATCACCATCACCTCATCTCCATCCACCGCGCTCTCCTGTATCATCCTCTGTTTCTCCTCAGATTACGTTGTTCTCCTCCATGCTGAAGGATGCTGCTCCTCTTCCAGCATCAGCATCATCAGCACCGCCAGCATCGCCCACTGCTTACCACTCCGCACTGAGCTCAGCGCGGGCGGCGGGGCGCCCTCTGCTGGACACCGGGCGCAGCACAAGCCTCTTCAATAAAGACTCAGACCACAAGGTTGATTCTTTATATTTATTTATTTACTCATTCATTTATACTGTATTTGAATAAATGTGTCCCTTTTTAATCCTATCTCACTGCAGCGTGTATAAAAGTGTCGCTGCGTCTTTGGTCTCTTCTGTTCTTCCTAAAAATAAACAACTTTTCCACCAGTTTTGAGGCTTTTCAGTGGTTATTATGTGAAATTAGCGCTTATAAAGTAAGACGAGGAGGGAAAATGGCACCATATTCTCAGTTGTAGAATTAACTGGGACTATTTTAATGCTCCGCCGGCTTGAATCCGTTGGGTAGTGATGCGTTTCTGTCCATTATATAATGTGAAAAATGGACCTTAAAGGTAAATAATGATTATTTTTTTTGGTGAATTTCTTAAAATATTCAGTCAAAATTCACCTAAAAACCCACCTGTGCAACGCTGTCGAGCTGTTTCTATGTTTGCACGTTTACACGACCCAGTAAACCCCAGAACTGGTTCCGGTTCTACGCACCTTAGCTCACTTTGAACATATGAAAAAATCTGTTTTTTTTTTTTTTTAGAGGAAAGCATTACACTGCTCCTCTACACTCTTAAAAAGATGGTTCTTCAAGGGTTCTCTAGTAAAGGGAAACTATGAGCCTTAAGTAGAACCGTTTGCATGCTTACGTGGTTCTATAGATTGTGTAATGGTGCTTCAGATTGATTAAGAGAATGTGTTGTATGTGGTCCTATATAGCACCAAAAAGGGTTCTGCTGTTGTTGTGATGTCAAGGTAGTAATAACTGAGGAACCCTTTATGGTGCTATGCAGAACCATTTTCAAAAAGGTTCTGTAAAGAAACCATTCACAGAAAAAAAAAGATACTTCTAGAACCATGAACACTCAAGAAAACATTTGCATGATAAATGGTTCTATACATGATGTAAGCGTTCTTCAGACTGACAGAGTGTGTGTTGTGTAGGGTCCTACATAGAACTAAAAAGGGTTCTGCTATTGTTACGATGTAAGGCTGGTAATAATGGAAGAAGGTGCTATTTAAACTTTGCTAAAGAACCCTTGAAGAACCATCTTTGAGAGTGTACACAGAGAAAAGCTGCAGACAGAGCCGTGTGGTCTTTAACTGATACGGTTCCGGTTCTGCTGTTCTCGGTTCTCAGTGCAGCTGCTCGTCTGATGTGTGAAACAGCGCTGCGCTCAGGCGGAGGTGAAGGACGGGTTGGAGAAGTTCTCTGGTTCCTCCTCGTTAGCGTCGTCAGCGCTGAGGTCAGTTTCAGTCTCAAACATTCTCTGCAGGAGGCCGTCCATCGTCCGGTACCCTGAGAACAAAAACGCAGAACGTCAGGAGAACATTAGAGCAGACTTGAGTGATGACTTTGTGGCCAATCAGAGCGGCATTTACCGGGTGACCAATCAGAGCGCCGTTTACCGGGTGGCCAATCGGAGTGCTGTTTATGGGGCGGCCAATCAGAGCGTTGTTTACCGTGGTGACCAATCAGAGCGCCGTTTACCGGGTGACCAATCAGAGCGCTGTTTACCGGGTGGCCAATCGGAGCGCCGTTTACCGGGTGGCCAATCGGAGTGCCGTTTACGGGGCGGCCAATCAGAGCATCGTTTACCGTGGTGACCAATCAGAGCGTCGTTTACTGTGGTGACAAATCAGAGCGTCGTTTCCCGGGTGGCCATTCAGAGCGCCGTTTACCGGGTGGCCAATCAGAGCGCCGTTTACCGGGGGGCCAATCAGAGCGCCGTTTACCATGGGACCAATCAGAGCGCCGTTTACCGGGGGGCCAATCAGAGCGCCGTTTACCGCGGGACCAATCAGAGCGCCGTTTACCGGGTGGCCAATCAGAGCGCCGTTTACCATGGGACCAAGCAGAGTGCCGTTTATCGGGTGGCCAATCAGAGCGCCGTTTACTGTGGGACCAATCAGAGCGCCGTTTACCGGGTAACCATTTCACACCACAGACTCACTAACACAGCTTATAATATAATAAACACATCAATAATATAATATAATATAATAACTATAAAATAACATGATGGTAAAGTAAAGATAATGAGTGATGAAGATGAAGAGGATGAAGAGGATGAGTTACTTTTGGAGCTGATTTTGAACATCAGGGTGGGTTTGCCCTTCACTCCCTCAGAGGACCCCATATCATTATCCTGAGTCTCCATCGCATCAACCAGGGTCCCATCAGCAGGATGCCTAATCAATCAGTCAATCAGTCAATCAATCAATCAGTCAATCAGTCAATAACAATGAGCTGTGCTGTTTATCTGAGGGTGGTGAGGGAGCTGTTCTGTGCTGGGATGATCTCGTCTGATCATGTTTACTGTAAGTACAGAAGCTGAATATTAACCTGTATCTGTATATTATTTCTGCATATTATATTATTTCTGAATATTAATCATCACAGATACTTTAAACGTTCATCAATTCATCATATTCATCAATACTGTATTTTCAGTTTAATCCACTTTTAGGGACACGCTGTAGCTCCGCCCCCAACATGTGATGTTTATTCCAGCTGTGTGTGAACAAGAACAATGGAGTGACCACTCACTGCTCCACACACAGGTTCAGCTCCTCGATCTTCTTTTCCAGGGACGTCTGCAGGTCACTCTTCTCCACCATGTACTCGACGAAGAACGCCTCCAGGATGAAGGCCACGAAAATGCTGCGGATCAGGACAGAACAGAGGTCAGCAGGACAGTCAGCAGTACCCTCAGAGGAACCAAACCGGACACTCATCTATTCTCTCATACGTACTTAATAATGATAATGACCATCACGACATGGAACAGAACGAAGAATATTCTGGCTGAAATGTGAGTGACCGCGGTAAAACCACCGGTCAGCAGTGAGGTGGAGTCAAGGAATCACAGAGACACAGGACAAACAACAAAAACAACAACAACAACAACAACAGACTGCTGTAGGCTGAATGGGTGGAGCTAAACTGCTGTAGGCTGAGTGGGTGGAGCTACACTGCTGTAGGCTGAGTGAGCAGGGCCAAACTGCTGTAGGCTGAGTGGGCGGGGCCAAACAGCTGTGTGCTGAGTGGGCAGGGCCAAACTGCCGTAGGCTGAGTGGGTGCTGGTGGAGGATATCGTGCCACTGGTTGACCACCGTGAGCTCCAGCAGGAGGATGAATGAAGACACCACATCGTTGAAGTTGTTCTTGCAGTAGTTGTTCCGGGCGAAGGCGGAGCCTTTCAGCAGAGGATTCCCGCAGTATTCCCGTGCCGGATCCTCGGAGCCCGCCTCGAAAAACTGCACTTTCCCTTTAAACAGCTCCATCCCCACCATCGCAAAGATGTAATACACCACCTGGGGGCAGCACAGAGCTCTCGTCTGAGCACCGCGGGCAGGAGATACACTCACACTCACACACACACTCACACACACACACACTCTCACACACACACACACCACTGCCATCGGAATAAAACCTCACATCTCTATTTTTGTGATTTGTAGTTTTTGACATAATTTGAAAATGTCTGTTATTCTTTACACTGTGTGTAAATTTCATGATGAACGGAACAAAACGAACGACCTAAAATGACTTAGAAAAAAGTCCGATTCCATTGACTTCCATTAAAGTAGAGTACGTTTTTCCTTCTCCTGTAAAGTTAGGATTTTGGAGATGTGAGGTTTTGTTCTGACAGCAGTGAAATACTATATTGTTTCTACACTCATTGTCCACTTTATCAGCTCCACTTACTATATAGGTGCACTTTGTAGTTCTACAGTTACAGACTGTAGTCCATCTGTTTCTCTGATACTTTGTTAGCCCCCTTTTACCCTGTTCTTCAGTGGTCAGGACCCCCATGGACCCTCACAGAGCAGGTACTATTTGGGTGGTGGATCATTCTCAGCACTGCAGTAACACTGACGTAGTGGTGGTGTGTTAGTGTGTGTTGCGCAGGTGCGAGTGGATCAGACACAGCAGTGCTGCTGAAGAAACTACATGGTCAGTGGCGCTGATAAAGTGGACAGTGAGTGTAGATGTTAATGTTACGGCTGGTGGTGTATATTTACATTTATGTTTAGATTTATAGAGTAAATGTAAGAGTTAAGACTGACCAGAATGAGCTGACCGAAGGTGAGCATGGGGGGTCCGATCTTGATCAGAGTGTTGATGATGGCACGGAAACTGCAGACATTAAGGAATTAACATAAATGAACAATCTACAGATTCTATGTCAGAGGTCAGCAGGCGGCAGGGTGACCTGAATGGTCAGTGAAATCATTTGCGTGAACAACTTGGCAAAATATCAGATCTTTCTGCCGAACATCGTGACTGATTATTTTCTATAAATGGAGGTCCAGCCTTGTTATTTTGGTCAGTTCTCATCTTTTGAGGCTTGAATGGCAAGTCATGGTTGTGATGTGATGGGTTTGGCTGTTTCTGATTGGTCTAACTCGTCCACAGGCGGCGCTAGAGAGAGATTTAAGACGAACATCGATAATCTGGAGATGAATGGACTTATTTGTGTTCATAATCACTCCAGCTGGTTTCCTGATACGTTTAATCTGCAGTGAGAAACTGACCAACACTAAAGTCACGAGGCTGAAGTCAGTTTCTCAATCGCCCGATTCTTGTACGAATTTACTTCCACCTTAAATGGTGCAGCAGTTACATTCTGCTGCCTCAGATGCCTTTTAAGGTGGAACAGCCTCGTAAGAAATCAAACGTTGAGAGAAATTTTACAGAAACTGTTCTACTTTTGAGGAACGTTTCCTGCTGGAGATGTGAGAAAAGCGGCTCCAGCTGAGCTGAAGATTAAAGCAGAGCGAAGTAAGTCTGAGTTTTTGTTTATATGTTTTAGTCTAAACTAGAACATCAGCACATACTGAGACACATTTACAGCCCAGATGGTAAAACGCTAGGCTCTTAAAAAGGATGTGCCTTCAAGGGTTCTTTAGTAAACATAATAGTTCTATATAGAACCATGAACACTCCAAGAACCCTTAGCTTGATTAAAGGGTTCTATATAGGGTTCTTTGAGTGCTCATGGTGCTATATAAAACCATTTTCTTTCCTAAAGAACCCTTAAAGAACCATCTTTTTTATGTATGATATTCCAGGTGGTTGCTAAGGTGTTGCTAGGTGGTCGCTATTGTATTGCAAAAAGTTACCAGAAGGTTGCTATGGTATCCCTGGTGGTTGCTAGGATGCTCCTAGTGTATGTCTATCATGGTAGGAGAAGTGTACAAAACTTTGACCACAGAGTTCAGCCATTCAGCTCACGGGACAAAGCGCCTCTCCTTCACCGTATTTCACTGAAATTGCCATCAGTGACCTACACTGGACACCTGGACGCCGCGAGTGACCAGCTCAGATTGGTTTAATATGTTTTCAGGGTTGTTGGGGGAAATGTGGGCTGCTCTACACCAGTGATGCAGGTTAAAATGCTACACATGGGCGCTGAGGACGGGGACCACAGCACGGAGCAGGCGGGTGGTCAAAGCGGGCGTGTCTAGGCATTAATAATCATGCTGTGCAGACCTCGACGTCTATAATGCACACGATCACACAGACGATCTCACAGACCTACCTGGGGATGGTGTCCACCACCCGGATGAGCCGAAGAACCCTCAGAATGAAAACAATGTCCAGAACCTGACGGCTGGTGTATCCACCGGCTACAACACACGGAGAACCGGTCAACAAACCGCCACACACTGCACCCTCCAACACACACACTGCACCCTCCAACACACACACTGCAGCCTCCAACACACACACTGCATCCTCCACCACACACAATGCATCCTCCACCACACACAATGCATCCTCCACCACACACACTACAGCCTCAAACACACACTGCAGCCTCCACCACACACACTGCAGCCTCCACCACACACACTGCAGCCTCAAACCCACACACACTGCAGCCTCCAACACACGCACTGCAGCCTCCAACACACGCACACTGCAGCCTCAAACACACACACACTGCAGCCTCCAACACACACGCACTGCAGCCTCCAACACACGCACTGCAGCCTCCAACACACGCACTGCAGCCTCCAACACACGCACTGCAGCCTCCAACACACACTGCAGCCTCCAACACACACACTGCAGCCTCCACCACACACAATGCATCCTCCACCACACACACTGCAGCCTCAAACACACACTGCAGCCTCAAACACACACTGCAGCCTCCACCACACACACTGCAGCCTCAAACCCACACACACTGCAGCCTCAAACCCACACTGCAGCCTCCAACACACGCACTGCAGCCTCCAACACACGCACTGCAGCCTCCAAACACACGCACTGCAGCCTCAAACACACACACACACACTGCAGCCTCCAACACACGCACTGCAGCCTCCAACACACACACTGCAGCCTCAAACCCACACTGCAGCCTCCAACACACACACTGCAGCCTCCACCCCACACTGCAGCCTCAAACACACAGTACAGCCTCCACCACACACTGCAGCCTTATAGCATGTGTGTGCTGTAGTGTTAGAGTCCGTGTGCTGTAGCGTTAGCTGTGTGTGCTGTAGCGTTAGCTGTGTGTGTGTGCTGTAGCGTTAGCTGTGTGTGTGTGCTGTAGCGTTAGCTGTGTGTACTGTAGCGTTAGAGTGTGTGTGTGCTGTAGCGTTAGCTGTGTGTACTGTAGCGTTAGAGTGTGTGTGTGCTGTAGTGTTAGTGTGTGTGCTGTAGCGTTAGCTGTGTGTGCTGTAGCGTTAGTGTGTGTGCTGTAGCGTTAGCTGTGTGTGCTGTAGCGTTAGCTGTGTGTGCTGTAGCGTTAGAGTCCGTGTGCTGTAGCGTTAGCTGTGTGTGCTGTAGCGTTAGTGTGTGTGCTGTAGCGTTAGCTGTGTGTGCTGTAGCGTTAGAGTCCGTGTGCTGTAGCGTTAGCTGTGTGTGCTGTAGCGTTAGTGTGTGTGCTGTAGCGTTAGAGTCCGTGTGCTGTAGCGTTAGCTGTGTGTGCTGTAGCGTTAGTGTGTGTGCTGTAGCGTTAGCTGTGTGTGCTGTAGCGTTAGAGTCCGTGTGCTGTAGCGTTAGCTGTGTGTGCTGTAGCGTTAGCTGTGTGTGCTGTAGCGTTAGTGTGTGTGCTGTAGCGTTAGAGTCCGTGTGCTGTAGCGTTAGCTGTGTGTGCTGTAGCGTTAGTGTGTGTGCTGTAGCGTTAGCTGTGTGTGCTGTAGCGTTAGTGTGTGTGCTGTAGCGTTAGAGTCCGTGTGCTGTAGCGTTAGCTGTGTGTGCTGTAGCGTTAGTGTGTGTGCTGTAGCGTTAGCTGTGTGTGCTGTAGCGTTAGAGTCCGTGTGCTGTAGCGTTAGCTGTGTGTGCTGTAGCGTTAGTGTGTGTGCTGTAGCGTTAGAGTCCGTGTGCTGTAGCGTTAGCTGTGTGTGCTGTAGCGTTAGAGTCCGTGTGCTGTAGCGTTAGCTGTGTGTGCTGTAGCGTTAGCTGTGTGTGCTGTAGCGTTAGAGTGTGTGTGCTGTAGCGTTAGCTGTGTGTGCTGTAGCGTTAGTGTGTGTGCTGTAGCGTTAGCTGTGTGTGCTGTAGCGTTAGAGTGTGTGCTGTAGCGTTAGCTGTGTGTGCTGTAGCGTTAGAGTGTGTGTGCTGTAGCGTTAGTGTGTGTGCTGTAGCGATAGTGTGTGTGCTGTAGCGATAGTGTGTGTACTGTAGCGTTAGCTGTGTGTATTGTAGCGTTAGAGTCTGTGTGCTGTAGCGTTAGCTGTGTGTGCTGTAGCGTTAGCTGTGTGTGCTGTAGCGTTAGAGTGTGTGTGCTGTAGCGCTAGAGTGTGTGTGCTGTAGCGTTAGCTGTGTGTGCTGTAGCGTTAGAGTGTGTGTGCTGTAGCGTTAGAGTGTGTGTGTGCTGTAGCGTTAGCTGTGTGTGCTGTAGCGTTAGCTGTGTGTGCTGTAGCGTTAGAGTGTGTGCTGTAGCGCTAGAGTGTGTGTGCTGTAGCGTTAGCTGTGTGTGCTGTAGCGTTAGCTGTGTGTATTGTAGCGTTAGAGTCTGTGTGCTGTAGCGTTAGCTGTGTGTGCTGTAGCGTTAGCTGTGTGTGCTGTAGCGTTAGAGTGTGTGTGCTGTAGCGTTAGCTGTGTGTGCTGTAGCGTTAGAGTGTGTGTGCTGTAGCGTTAGAGTGTGTGTGCTGTAGCGTTAGAGTCTGTGTGCTGTAGCGTTAGCTGTGTGTGCTGTAGCGTTAGAGTGTGTGTGCTGTAGCGTTAGAGTGTGTGTGCTGTAGCGTTAGAGTCTGTGTGCTGTAGCGTTAGCTGTGTGTGCTGTAGCGTTAGAGTGTGTGTGCTGTAGCGTTAGAGTCTGTGTGCTGTAGCGTTAGCTGTGTGTGCTGTAGCGTTAGCTGTGTGTGCTGTAGCGTTAGAGTGTGTGTGCTGTAGCGTTAGAGTGTGTGTGTGCTGTAGCGTTAGCTGTGTGTGCTGTAGCGTTAGCTGTGTGTGCTGTAGCGTTAGAGTCTGTGTGCTGTAGCGTTAGCTGTGTGTGCTGTAGCGTTAGCTGTGTGTGCTGTAGCGTTAGAGTGTGTGTGCTGTAGCGTTAGAGTGTGTGTGCTGTAGCGTTAGAGTGTGTGTGTGCTGTAGCGTTAGCTGTGTGTGCTGTAGCGTTAGAGTGTGTGTGCTGTAGCGTTAGCTGTGTGTGCTGTAGCGTTAGAGTGTGTGTGCTGTAGCGTTAGAGTCTGTGTGCTGTAGCGTTAGCTGTGTGTGCTGTAGCGTTAGAGTGTGTGTGCTGTAGCGTTAGAGTCTGTGTGCTGTAGCGTTAGCTGTGTGTGCTGTAGCGTTAGCTGTGTGTGCTGTAGCGTTAGAGTGTGTGTGCTGTAGCGTTAGAGTGTGTGTGTGCTGTAGCGTTAGCTGTGTGTGCTGTAGCGTTAGAGTGTGTGTGCTGTAGCGTTAGTGTGTGTGTGTGCTGTAGCGTTAGCTGTGTGTGCTGTAGCGTTAGAGTGTGTGTGCTGTAGCGTTAGCTGTGTGTGCTGTAGCGTTAGAGTGTGTGTGCTGTAGCGTTAGAGTCCGTGTGCTGTAGCGTTAGCTGTGTGTGCTGTAGCGTTAGAGTGTGTGTGCTGTAGCGTTAGCTGTGTGTATTGTAGCGTTAGCTGTGTGTGCTGTAGCGTTAGAGTGTGTGTGCTGTAGCGTTAGCTGTGTGTGCTGTAGCGTTAGCTGTGTGTGCTGTAGCGTTAGTGTGTGTGTGCTGTAGCGTTAGCTGTGTATGCTGTAGCGTTAGAGTGTGTGTGCTGTAGCGTTAGCTGTGTGTGTGTGCTGTAGCGTTAGCTGTGTGTGTGTGCTGTAGCGTTAGAGTGGGTGTGCTGTAGCGTTAGCTGTGTGTGCTGTAGCGTTAGAGTGTGTGTGTGCTGTAGCGTTAGAGTGTGTGTTTGCTGTAGCGTTAGAGTGTGTGTTTGCTGTAGCGTTAGAGTGTGTGTGCTGTAGCGTTAGCTGTGTGTGCTGTAGCGTTAGCTGTGTGTGCTGTAGCGTTAGTGTGTGTGTGCTGTAGCGTTAGCTGTGTATGCTGTAGCGTTAGAGTGTGTGTGCTGTAGCGTTAGCTGTGTGTGCTGTAGCGTTAGCTGTGTGTGCTGTAGCGTTAGAGTGTGTGTGTGCTGTAGCGTTAGAGTGTGTGTTTGCTGTAGCGTTAGAGTGTGTGTGCTGTAGCGTTAGCTGTGTGTGCTGTAGCGTTAGAGTGTGTGTGTGCTGTAGCGTTAGAGTGTGTGTTTGCTGTAGCGTTAGAGTGTGTGTGCTGTAGCGTTAGAGTGTGTGTGTGCTGTAGCGTTAGAGTGTGTGTGTGCTGTAGCGTTAGAGTGTGTGTTTGCTGTAGCGTTAGAGTGTGTGTGCTGTAGCGTTAGCTGTGTGTGCTGTAGCGTTAGCTGTGTGTGCTGTAGCGTTAGAGTGTGTGTGTGCTGTAGCGTTAGAGTGTGTGTGCTGTAGCGTTAGCTGGGTGTGCTGTAGCGTTAGTGTGTGTGTGTGTGCTGTAGCGTTAGCTGTGTGTACTGTAGCGTTAGAGTGTGTGTGCTGTAGCGTTAGCTGTGTGTGCTGTAGCGTTAGCTGTGTGTGCTGTAGCGTTAGAGTGCGTGTGCTGTAGCGTTAGCTGTGTGTGCTGTAGCGTTAGAGTGCGTGTGCTGTAGCGTTAGCTGTGTGTGCTGTAGCGTTAGAGTGTGTGTGCTGTAGCGTTAGCTGTGTGTGCTGTAGCGTTAGAGTGTGTGTGCTGTTGCGTTAGAGTGTGTGTGCTGTTGCGTTAGAGTGTGTGTGCTGTAGCGTTAGCTGTGTGTATTGTAGCGTTAGCTGTGTGTATTGTAGCGTTAGCTGTGTGTGCTGTAGCGTTAGAATGTGTGTGCTGTAGCGTTACCTGTGTGTATTGTAGCGTTAGCTGTTTTTGCTATAGCGTTAGAGTGTGTGTGCTGTAGCGTTAGCTGTGTGTATTGTAGCGTTAGCTGTGTGTGCTGTAGCGTTAGAGTGTGTGTGCTGTAGCGTTAGCTGTGTGTATTGTAGCGTTAGCTGTGTGTATTGTAGCGTTAGAGGGTGTGTGCTGTAGCGTTAGCTGTGTGTGCTGTAGCGTTAGCTGTGTGTGCTGTAGCGTTAGAGTGTGTGTTTGCTGTAGCGTTAGAGTGTGTGTGCTGTAGCGTTAGCTGTGTGTGCTGTAGCGTTAGTGTGTGTGTGTGTGCTGTAGTGTTAGCTGTGT